CCCACTGGCACAATGTGTCAACAGTCTGTGCACAAAACATTTCAAATTTAGGCTCTCAATACTTTCAAATTTGCCACAAAGAACAAAATGTTCACCTTCCTGTATTTGAATCTCCAGTGCCCTAGCATCCTAGTAGACAATATGACCCAAGCTAAAACTTGCACATTTTCAGGTAAGCATTATCCTTTATCCTGCCACAGGGGATCCCAGGGCATCTTTGGCATCTACCCCTTTTCTTCTATTGCACTGACCAAGGCTGCCTTCACTAAAACTCTTCGTCTGCTGTCTTGACTTGTTGCTCTGTAGATATCTGTGACCCTTTCTGAATAACTTAAGTACATATGGACAAGCTTTTTTGGTGGTGTTTGCCACTCCCTTTCCTCTCTAGACCCTTACAGTGACTTCTTAGAAAACTAAATGTCTTCCTGATGAATAAAAGCCCTCCATCAGAGTGCTACAGCAATCTCACCTACCATGTTTTCTTCTCAGTAAACATATTTATCTATTACAGAGAAATGGTTTCATGCAGTTGAAATCACTTTGGTTATGGAGTGGAAAGTCCTAAACTCTGTTCTCAGTTGTTCCTTCACTAGTTCTGTGATCTTGACTGAGATAATGTCTTCCTACTTCAAAGAATTATTATGAATAAAATAATGTATATACTAAAGGAGACTATGCCACAGTATAAAATTTTTTAGAAACATGCCATTTATTTAGCACTCGGTTATTGGCTGGTTATAATTCTTGTGTGTTTCATGTATGTTCTCATATCTCCATAACTGATTTAAATTTGCATGAGATTGGATCCTTCACTTGCACTGTATTTGTCAACTCTACAATGCCTGAGTTGGTTCACAGCTGAGTCAATTTCTTCATCCTATTCTTGACCCAGTAGTTTAGTTTTCCCTGGCCTTGATCTTCAACTCACAGATCTCTTCTCCTTCTTTAGGAAGCCTCCCTTTGTCTACTGAAACAGTGAGACGGTTGGTGGTTTTTCTAGCATACTACCTCCTGTGCAGAGAAATCTGCAATTTTGATTTATTTATGTCTGAGAACAGTCTTAGTATAGACAAAACATGGAATCAATGATGACAGGGCTCCAGAAGGCTGAGAGATGATGACATCAAAATGTGTACAGAGAAAGACAACTCTGCCAAAGAACCAAGAAGTAGTGTGCAAAGACCAAAATCTGTCTGTGTTCATCCAACACTGCCCAGGACAAGACTTCTTCAAACTGTTGTCTTGAAAGTGTGGTTAATGGCCCTGTATAGAAATTTATGGGCCGGGTACGGTAGCTCACGTCTGTAATCCTAGCACTTTGGCAGGCCAAGGCAAGAGGACTGCTTGAGCCCAGGAGTCCAAGACCAGCCTAGACAACATAGCAAGACCTTGTCTCCACAGAAAAAAGAAAAGAAAAAAATTAGCTGGGCGTGGTGCCCGCCTGTAGTCCCAGCTACTTGGGAGGCTAAGGTGGGAAGATCCCTTATGCCCAGGAGGTCAAGGCTTCAGTGGGCCATGATCTTGTCACTGCACTCCAGCCTGGATGACAGAGTGAGACCCCAACTCGGATAAAAGAGAGAAAGAGAGAGAGAGAAATTTGTGTATCATGCTTTGTTTTGAGCTCTTCAGCTTTAGAAACATTACATCAACAAACAGGCTCTGATTTCATTCTTGACAAAAGACATACACTTAAGCTTCCAAAGTAGTGATCATATATAGCAAATTTTCTGGTTAAACCAACCTGATCATTAGGCCTGTATAATTGTTTTATTTCTGGTTATAAAAACTGGCTTGTTGTAATTAAATGCAAGTTTATACAACATAATTTTGGCCTTTTCAAGTCCATTCAGCTCCGAATCACTTGATGTGAGTTTCTGTACTTGTAAAACAATGGCTTAGAAACTATCATAATTGGCGGGGCTCCGTGGCTCAGCCTGTAATCCCAGCACTTTGGGAGGCCAACGTGAGGGGAATGCCTGAGCCCACAAGTTCAAGACCAGCCTGGGCAACTTGGCGAGCTCTCGTCTCTACAATAAATCAAAAATTAGCTGGGCATGGTAACACGCGCCTGTAGTTCCGGCTACTTGGAAGGCTGAGGACGGGAAGGATCGCAGGAGCATGGCAGGTCAACGCTGGGGTGGCCGTGAGCATGCCACTGCATTCCAACCTGGTCGACAAAGTGAGACTCAACTCAAAACAAGAAAAGAAAAAGAAAGAGCCGGGCTCGGTGGCTCAGCCTGTAATCCCGCACCTTGGAAGGCTGAGGTGAGTGGATTGCCTGAGTCCGCGGGTTCGAGACCTACCCGGGCAACTTGGCGAGACCTCATCTCTACAATAAATCAAAAATCAGCCGGGCATGGTAGCGCACGCCTGTAATTCCAGCTGCTCGGAAGGCTAAGGTGGAAGGATCGCTGGAACCCAGCAGGTCGAGGCTGCGGTGGCCGGGAGCCTGCAGCTGCACTCCAGTCTCGGTGACAGAGTGAGACTCCAAATCAAAAAAAAAGAAAAAGAAAGAAACTACCATAATTATTTTACCCAAATAATATCACCCCATGGGGCCCTGCCTGAGGAGTAGTCAGTCAACACCCCTCCCAGTGATAATAACTCTGTCTGCCGATCTCAAGTTATAATGGGATGGGTTTACATGGTTCAGATTATAGCAGGTGCTCTATGAATTAATTTTTCAAATGTAAGTTCCCGAGGTGTTGACTTGGATAGCCTGAGGAATTAGTTAAAGCATCTAGTGTATTCACGAAGACATGAAACACATCCACTATGGAAGATGAAGGAAAACCAAAGACACTTGTTGCTCTGAAACCAAAAAAAAAGATTGAAGTCTAAAGGTTCTCAGACTTCAATGTGCACATGAGTCACGAGGGGATCTTGTAAAAATGCAGATTCTGATTCGGGAAGTCTAAGGAAGGGCCTGAGATGCTGCATTTCTAACAAGTGCCAGGTGATGGCAATGCTGCAGGTCCCAGGATCCCACGTGGAGAGCACGGCCAGGGAGTTTAAGTAGCTTAACAGTCTGTGTGTGTAAACACAGGAACTTTGGCTTTTTAAACAACTCAGCCAGAGAACAACAAAGGGAAATTATCAGTTAGGAAGTCACACTACATTTTGTACACATTTTGTGTACATTTTTGTTCATTACCAGAACTTATGTTGAAAAGGGAGTGATTTCTGCATAATCATTTCTTCTATCAAGCCACAAGAGTGGGAATCGAGTGGTTTCTCTCACAGGTTTTACATGCCTATGCTATGACCACCCCAAACACACACCAAAGAGCAGGCACCAGAAGAGCAGGGAAGTTCCCTGAGCATCTCCTCTAAGGCTACACAAGCTAATAGTGATGGGAAGGGCCTTCATAAACCTCTCGGCTCATTGCCTGCTGTTTCCAAAACACACCATGGCGGAAGGTCAGGCCCGAGTGGAACAAAGCACCTTGATTCAGAACCTGCTGTGGGCCTTAATCAGGGCAGATTCCAAGGCAACTTAAAGGAACCGTGGATTTTAGGATATGCAGCCCAATGGCCCCTCCATACCTATCCCTAAAATCCATGACCTTTAGCAGCAGCATAGTTATGCCTCTTGCAGGCAGGCAACAGCCAGTGAGAAAAACAAAGATTAAAAAGTAATTAGATGTTGTACCCAAGTAGAGATGGGGTATGGGTTTTTATTTTTATATTTTTTAGAATTACCTTATTTAACTGTTAAATTGCTGCTTTATTATGGAATTCAATATTTTTCCATCTACAGGTTACAGCCCATTGGTGAATCATTAAATCATTTTCATGGATCAGAACCAGGATGTTTAAAAATGCAACAATAAGGCCGGGTGCGGTCTCACGCCTATAATCCCAGAGCTTTGAGAGGCCAAGGTGAGAGGACTGCCTGAGCCGCGGGTTCAAGATCAGCCTGGGCAACGTGGTAAGACCTCATCTCTACAACAAATAAAAAAAATTAGCCAAACATGATGGCATGTGCCTGTAGTTCCGGCTACTTGGAAGGCTGAGGCAGAAGGATCACCTGTGCCTAGGAGGTCAAGGCTGTGATGTCCGTGAGTATGCCACTGCACTCCAGCCTGGGCAACAGAGTAAGACTCCAATTCAAAAAAATAATAATAATAAAAATAAAAATGCAACACTGGAGATGTGTCGTAGTTCAAAGAGAAGTATTGTTTCTCAGCTGTGTGTGTGTGTGTGTGTGTGTGTGTGTGTGTGTGTGTGTACTGGGTTATGTTGTAAAGTGCACTGCTTGCTGGTATTTATGATCAGAAATTTGTAGAACACTGCCAAGGCGAGAGGATGCTTGAGGCCAACAGTTTAAGACCAACCTGGACAACATAGCCACATCCTATCTCTACAAAAATAAAAATAACTAAAAAATAGAAGTTTGGGAAACTCTGGACTATAATTAGCTTTATGATAGAGTAGGGGTATTTAACCTTCATTGTTTTTCACCTATTTATTTTTACTATATTCACCTGGCATTTGATAGTAGAACTCAGGGCAAATAGTCTTTTCAGATATTTCCTTGAACTCATATAGTATGTTTAATCCATACATATAATACCAAATTCTTTCAGGTCATACATCAGAGGAATAGGTCACATTTTATCTACATTCAAACTATTCCTGGATATCATAATCTTCTACTTCCAACCACTTGCTCGATAAGCTTACTAGATGCTTACCATGGTAGTGAGCGCTTTATAACATAGCTTGCAAGTTACAAGAGCACCATCTTCTGGTGAAATCTTTGCTTTGTAGGAAGGGTGTTAAAAAGTTACCAAAGATTTTTCTAGCAAAAATTGAAATTGCATCGCAAATATATTGAAATTCTGTAGAAGTCCTTGTTTCATTCAGGAGCTCCATTCCCCACTGAGAAGGGTCTTTTTATCCCTTAGCAGTGAAAGGAGCTAGTCTGTCCTTCCTCCTTTTCCGTTAAACTAAGCCGGTTTCAAGTTTCAGCTCCTCCTTGAATTCCAGAATGCTGAGACTTCCCCCTGGATTCATCCAAAATGGAGCCTCTCACAGCTTACCCATTAAAATGCTCAGGGCCCAAAGCAAAGGTATTTGCAGTTTTGCTGTCTATGGTTCTATGTACAGTGATGCTATTTCTTCTACAACTAAAATTCCTAAAACCTAAAATAAACAGCTTTTATGCCTTTGAAGTGAAGGATGCAAAAGGAAGAAACGTTTCTCTGGAAAAGTTTAAAGGCAAAGTAAGTTGTATCTTCTGATTTTTATCGTTATTGTTTTTCCATATCTTTGGTTATTCTCTCAATAAAATCTATTTTTTGCTATTACATGGTCACAAGTTAGAATTTAGTCTTCAAAGTAATGGTATCAGTACCTCGCTTTAGTTATCACAGTTCTGATAGGTTATGTACTTCTAACTGACAAGTTCTGGTTATCTTATTTGCTTTCTTAAAAATGCTTTAACTTTTGTGCTGGATTGATACTTTAAGTTGTTTAGAAAATGTTTATTGTTAATAACATGAATATGGTAATATTTATCAATAAAAGTACTCTATAATCTAAATGTTTAAAAGCATTCTATCAATGATATTATTATTATTAAAAATAAACTTTCATGAGCACCTAATGCTTTTTAATGGCAGTAATATTTCAGAGTCTTAACTTATGCATCCAGGTTATGATATTCAATAAAATTGGGTATGTCTAAAAATACAAAATAACCATCTATCAGAGGTTATATAGCCCCCAAAATGGTTTAGGATTTTTTAACTACTTGCAGGATTTTTTTTTAATCTTCTGCTTCACTTTCCGGTTGGGTTTTTTTCTTTTTCCGGGAGGTTTCACTAGTTGTAAACGTGGCTAGTGACTGCCAACTCACAGACAGAAATTACTTAGCACTGAAGGAACTGCACAGAGAGTTTGGACCATCCCACTTCAGCGTGTTGGCTTTTCCCTGCAATCAGTTTGGAGAATCGGAGCCCCGCCCAAGCAAGGAAGTAGAATCTTTTGCAAGAAAAAACTACGGAGTAACATTCCCCATCTTCCACAAGATTAAGATTCTAGGATCTGACGCAGAACCTGCATTTAGATTTCTTGTTGGTAAATATCCACCTTGCCTCACCAGTATAATGTTTTTAATTGCTTTTCGTTTTAAACATACTAAGACCATACATGTGAAACAATATATTGGAAAAGCTTTAGAAAACATTCAAAGAGCCAGAATCTCATCCTTTATAAATTTCTAGAATTGTACTTCCCAGAAATCAATGTTTTAGCTTCTTAGAAGGCAAAAAAAAATTCTACTCCATTGTATTTTATTCCTTATGACCATCTTTCTGAAGAATTTACTTAGAATGGGGCCAAGATATTTTCCCAAAATATCTCAATTCTTCTCTCATTTAACTAGCATTTGGGGAAATGCCCCCCCCCATTATTAAAGCTGCACATCTCTCACGACTGATGAGAATTATTAGGTAAACATATCTTTGTAGTTAATTTTATGTTGCCTTTTTTTATCTGAGATAATATTCTCAAGAATGAATATCTTGGTTTACCAAGTTTTTGCTAAAATTCAGAACAGTATCACTTGATTTTTTTCAGAAGGCAGTAGCATTAGGCTATCTCTACAATTAAGCTAGCTACAGAAATCTATTTAAAGGTTTGCCAAAACCAGTTAGCATAATGGTGGTGTGGTGTGGTGACAGTATAGGCTTTGGCTTTAGACTAACTAGGTTCAAACCCCTGCTGTTGTTTTTGCTGTGTGGCTTCAGGCACACCACTTAACTTCTGTGTGCCTGTTTCCTCATTTGTAAAATGAGGTTATCAATAGTACCTACCTCCTAAGATTGTTTAAAGGATTAAGCGTGTTAAAAATAAAAATATGGGATTAATGGTAGTCAATATCTGTCTGGGGAAGGCGGGGACACCCCTTACCAACAAGGGTGCCTGAACGATGCATATTTGTATACCTAACCCTTAACTGCACCCCACAATTTTAAAATAAAAAATATGTTCAATAAAAAAAAATAAAAATAATGTATTTATACACCACTAACTGTATGCTAGACGCTATTCTAAAGGACATTAAAGGCCAGGCATGGAAGCTCATGCCTGTAATCCCAGCATTTTGGGAGGCCAAGATGGGAAGATCTCTTGAGCCCAGGAGTTCAAGACTGGTCGGGGCAACATAGTGAGACCTCACTTCTACAAAATAATCAAAAATTTAGCTGGGTGTGGTCGCACTTGCCTGTAATCCCAGCTATTTGGGAGGCTGAGGTGGGAGGATCACTCAAATTCAGGAGATTGAGGCTGCAGTGAGCTAGGATCACACTACTGCACTTTACCCTGGGTGACAGAGAGAGACCCTGTCTCAAAAATAAATAAATAAATGGCATTAAGCTAATGTTCTCTCATCTAACTCATTCTGATTATATCTTCAGGCCTATTTTCACTGTAGATCATTCGAGTTTTGCTAAAACCATGACCTCAGTCAGGCAATCAAGCTTCCAATCCAACAAACTAAATAATGATGCTCTATAATATTTTACATTAAGTGTGAAATCAGAATCTTTGAAAAAACATTATATTTATTCATCTCTAGGAAAAACTGAAATAACACAACACTATGAATAGCAACCATAGCGAGGTCTTTTTCTTTTATTTTGGGGATACACTGAGGAAAGAAAAGCCAGAGCACATGCCCTTGAACTCATCATTTCTCAATTATAGAAGCCAGATACTTGAGCACAAACACTTAATAAATTTTAGTTGTAATTATTTCTTTCTCATGTTAGTCAATAATATGAACATAAATCCTGAGTGATATAAACAGAAAAAATACATATATTTCTTACACAAATTAAAATTTATCAAAAGGACATCATAATTTCTCAAAATGAGGTGATTGTTTAGAATTTACTACCATTTTCAGCTATGTAATATGAAACAATTCTTTAACTGATATATTTAATATGAAAACCAATTCGTACATTCCCATTACCAAGAACCTTTAGGACATCATTTTATCTCTACAAATGTTAAGAAACTGAAAGTTTTGAACTGGTGACTAAGTAACATTTTTATTATTTAGGTGAACAAATCTAAAATAAACAACTGTTTCATTTCATGATGCTAGATCAATAGATTCATCAGTGAAGTCATCAAATATTTTGAAATCTGGTTACTGAAACCTTGAGTTTTGCTTTGTTTCGGTGATTTGCTTTGTTTTGTTTTATTTTCTATATTATGACAATTCTAGAACCTGACACGACTTGTCACTTATGTAGATGCTAATGAGAATGGAAATCTTGACAAAGAATAAAATGATGCTCATGAAAATGTGTTCTGAATATTTTAGATTCTTCAAAGAAAGAACCAAGGTGGAATTTTTGGAAGTATCTGGTAAACCCTGAAGGTCAAGTTGTGAAGTTCTGGAGGCCAGAGGAGCCCACTGAAGTCATCAGGCCTGACATAGCAGCTCTGGTTAGACAAATGATTATAAAAAAGAAAGAGGATCTATGAAAATGCCATTGAGCCATTCTAATGCAATGGAATGATCCGATATCTCTATGAGGGTTTGGTCTCATTTTAAATATTCTAAGAATTAAATGTGGCAGTGAAGGATGATTTTTTTTTTAATGTTATCTTGCTGGTCAGTGGTAATGAATGTCCCCAAGACAGTGGTGTTGCCCAAAGCAAAAATAAAAAGTAGCCAAAGAATCAAAATGAAATATAGTAAATACTTCCATTTGACAATAGTGAAGAATCCAGAATACACAGTGATCAATGTGCTTTAATATCTTATTGTTCAACTTGACATTTTCTAGGATTGTACTTGATGAAAATGGCAACACATTAGACCAGACCACTGTTTGGATTCAAGCACACTTGTGTGATTGAAATTTTTGGAGTAACTAATCATTGATGTAATAAAATACAAATAAACGTTGAAAATGGAAACTATATATACATACCTCCAAATCCTTATATATATTTGTTTTGTATACAGGATTTTGTTTGTTTCTTTTCTTTCTAAGCACAGATTCCCAGTGTTTTTATGCTATCTGGCCAAATAGTCATTTATAAAAGACATTATCATAACATTTGAAAAAGCCATCATCATTTTTGACATTTTTCTCTCCGTTATTTTTTTAGAAGCAACTTAAATGCCCTAATTATAATATTACCAGTTGAGTCAGTCTTTTTTGAGTGAAAATCCCAAATGTAGGAAAAAGGACATGAGTATAAGATCATTTAGCTTGATTCCTTATAGGTTGATTTTGATTATTTATATATTCACACCAAATTAGGCATTTGAAAAGAATCTGACACGGCATCATTCTGTTATTTATTTATTTATTTTTGAGGCAGGGTCTCACTCTGTCACCCTGGCTAAAGTGCAGAGGTATGATCCCAGCTCACTGCAGCCTCAGTCTCCTGGACTTGAGTGATCCTCCCATCTCAGTCTCCCAAGTAGCTGGGATTACAGGCAAGCACTACCACACCCAGCTAATTTTTTTATTCTGATAGCTGAAATCATACAAATTACCTCCAACTAGTCAAAACTCTAATGTAAAAAAGGGGGTGACTGCAATCACACAAGTTCAAATGTAGATCAGCGATCACTATACATTATGGTAGAGCCACAATATAGCTTTTCTCCCAAAGTCATGACCTTTACATTTTGTCAGACAACAAAAAACCTGCCAAGTTGAGGAAGATAAATTATTGCCCCATAAAATACATATTCATTGTATAAAAGAATTAAACAGAAAGGTGGGTCAAAAAATGTGGAAATATATAAATTTACCTAAGAAGGAAGAACACCCAATTTAAATAGCCTGTGACTTGACTCCCAAATTCTGACCTAATAGATAAAAGTGAAGTTTTTTTAATGGTGAATTCAGTAATGTCACCTCAGTATATAGTTCTGCATAAGTGTTTGGACTAAAGTTCTTAGAAAACCAAAGATATTTCTGAAACCACCTTCTGCCTCAAAGTGTATATCCAACCACCCAACTATGAGGGTATTTAGTAAGATAACTGGTGGAGGTGGAGGAGGAGGTAGCGTTTCCATCAGAGGTTGTGGATTTACAGAGATAGCCTCAAGAATGCCAGATTAGCGTGTCAGCAAGCCTGCTTCTACCTCTCACCAACTGCATGACTTTGGTCTCTTAACTATGTTAACTTCGGTTTTCTCACCTGTAAATTGAGCCAGGGTCAGTCAGATGGAGCAAAGAGCTCCTTCTGACTCTAAAAGTCAATGGCCATATTTACCAAGGTGTTTTAAGTGATCAAGAAAGAAATTAGAAAGCCGGGCTCGGTGGCTCAGTCTGTAATCCCGCGCCTTTGGGACACTGAGGTGAGTGGATTGCCTGAGTTCGCGGGTTTGAGACCCGCCTGGGCGGCGAGACCTCATCTCTACAATAAATCAAAAAATCAGCCGGGCGTGGTAGCGCATGCCTGTAATTCTGGCTACTTGGAAGGCTGAGGTGGAAGGATCGCCGGAGTCCAGCAGGTCGAGGCTGCGGTGGCCGGGAGCGACCACTGCACTCCAGTCTGGGCCACAGAGTGAGACTCCAACTCAAAAAAAAAAAAAAAGAAAGAAAAGAAAGAAATTAGAAATAATCTGGATTGTTGGCAAAACAAAAAACCAAACAAACAAAATCAGAAGTCACCTAACAAGCCTATCTGTCTTTTGCAATTTTGCTCCAGAGCCTATTTTAGCAATTTGAATTCCAGGCCTCTAAGCAAAATTTTGCTCAGGGCAGCCTCTCCAAGTGTTGCTTCAGAGCTCTCCTGCCATATATCCCCACTTAGGCCTTCCATGAGCTCATAACAGTGCAGTGGTGCTGGGGTGTTTTTATGTGCCCACCTTGGAGGTGTGGGGAGAACTGCATATGCTGGCACCACAAGCAACAGAGACCCCTCACTGCCAGATGGATGGTAATAGAGACCCACTAGGGGGACTACCAGGCTGCCCCAGTGCAGATGACTATCCTGCCTTGAGTCACTAGTTCTCTCCAAAGTCAAATAAAGTGGATTTCTTCACTAATATCTCTCCTACTCTGGTTGCCGCCGTATTCAACCTACAATCTCTACTATTGTAAGGGCTGGATTCTCTCTCCCCTTGCCTTTGGGTATGCAGAGCAAGCAGCTAGGGATTTGAAAGTGTGTCCAACGCCAGATAAAGTAGATTTCTTCACTTATATCTATCTCTCCTACTCTGGTTGCCGCCGTATTCAACCTATAATCTCTACTATCGTAAGGGCTGGATTCTCTCCCCTTGCCTTTGGGTAGGCAGAGCAAGTAGGGATTTGAAAGTATGTCACATGTATTGATTGGAAAGAGAGGAAATTCTTGTGTCCATTCAAGGATCTGTAACAGAGGCTATGTGTGTGCTGAAAGAGGGAGTGGGGCCATTTGCTGCTGTGCCACTACCCATAACTCACATGTCTCATAGGAATACTGCCGGACACAGAGGAAAAGTCGAAAAGGTTGAAAAGAAAGGACACACAGAGGAAAAGTTGAAACTTTGTTGAATTGGGCTATCTTTCTGGAATTTTGTCTGCATCAAAAAGTAAGTCTGAGACGTAGACTGCTGTAGGATGCCTGGACTAAGGAGTATAACAGAAAAATGTCAGGCATCACATAAAAGGATACAGGGCTGTTGTCCTCATGGCAAAGGAAAGGGGCAAAATCCATTGCATTTTAACTGTGGTAAGTAATTCACTGACTTAAGTTTGGTCTGGTTTGTTTGGTGGGTGGAGAGGAACACTTGACACTCTTGATTGTCTCAAGCAACGACAGAGAGTGTCGAAGATGGGAATATATGTGAATTTGCCTGAAATGTACCCTGAAAGTTGCACTCAGTTTTGAAAGTGTTTAATAATTATGGTGTATCTATAGTATGTACATATGTACGCACATATAATTCTTAATCATTGCAGGATATATGTAGCATATATATAATGTTCACTGGTAAATGTTTAACAACAGACTCTCTAGAAGAGGAATCCTAACATGTATCTACCATTTGTCAATTTCTATGTAAATGCTCCTGTATGGCCAATTTCAGTCTACCATGGTTTAATAACTAGCTTGCTACATTTCTGAACACTTAAAAATTGGTTCTCACAAGCCAATACGAGCTGTCTCTAGCACACCCAAATTCTTAAAAATTGAACTTGATCAGAGTATTATTAGGATTCCCAAAGAGAAAAATATGGAGCAAAAACATATCATATATACTCTTTATTTTTATTATAAATATATTATTTTGGCAGTTATATAAAAATGTGGAAGTATATTCAGTTTCTGAATTATGAAAAACTGCTAACAGTATACTGCCTAATCACATTAAAATCTAATAACCTAACTGAATTGCCTGCGGATAATCTCAAATAGGAAAATACTCCAAAAGAAGGAAGGAAGCCTCGGAAGTTCAAGATGAAAAACAAAAACTTTGTTTCTGTATTTATTTTCTTTAAAAATATTAGCTGTGTTCCAAAAGACCGCCTTGCATGACCTGAAGTGTTGAGTGGTTCCTGTACAAAATATGTTAATTCATGGTGTTCCTTTAAAATAAAATGACCTGTTGGGGTGGTGCTGTCATGAGGATGCTCTGTTCACACTTAGTCCCCAGCTTGATTTCACCTTTCCCATGGAATAATAAAATTCTAATAACTGTTATGCCTAGAAACTAATCCATCACCCTTCTTCCCACTCTTCCTCCCCTCCTTCCCGTGACCTGTCAGTGCTGTACCTTGCAGAGTGGACAGTCTCTTCTGGACAGAACAAATTGCAGCAAGGAATTAGGAAGCCATTCAGTGGACAGTGACTGGAAGTGGGTACATTCCCGGCACCAGTGAACAGCCTAGTGGCTGCCCCAAGAGAAAACACCTGGGAGAAAAAAACTGCACCAACAGAGCCTCACTCCTTCTCTTTTTTCAATCACTTTCTCCTCTGCTTGTCCCTTGACTCCCCAGTGTGTATCCCTTTCTTTCCCTTTCCTTCCTATGAAAACATTTTCTTTTTGAATTTATATCTTCATTTTCCTCCTTATGCATTCATCTCTTTAACATTTTTATTTCTTTCCATTCCCTCCCTCATCTCATCATCTCAATAATATGGGACTAAAAAATAGCTTTAAATATGTATTCTGTTTATTGACTATAAATGTTTGTGTTTTATGTCTTGCTCTTTAGTTAAAATAAAACACAAAGGCCAAGCCTTCTAAATTTAGTAGGTTTTATTTTTATCAACAGGTGACTTTCTATAGAAAATAACATGTTTTAAATTTAACCTCAAAAAAATTAAAACTATTTACATGAAAGGTATACTTAAACAATAATGGAATAACATTGGGCAACAACAAAAAAGGATGAGATTTGAAAGCAGTAATTGTATAAGAATCAAATTATAGGTATCTATTTAACCCACAATCTAGAAATGTTTAAATTTAAATAAGGTAAGCATAAAAATTATTTTACCAACAGCTTATAATCCAATATAGTAGAGTGGGTTATACATTTCTCACGTCTCATTTAGGATATAACTAACTGACCAGACTATCAAAGTCATTTCCACTAAGTGGCTGCAAATGTCCACATGAGGATATTACATGTCTGGGAGCCAGCAGTATGTGACACTGCTCCATGGGTCAAAATGGCCTCCAAGGGTATGAGAAAATATTTTAAGTTATATTGTATGGTCAGTTCTTCCATCTCACAAGTTAGATTTCATGCTCTCTTCCAAACATTTTATGAGCCTGTAATTTCACAGAAAATGAAATGAAGAATTGCAGCAAATCTTACAAACGATTCAACCCATCCCCACCAAAAAAAAAAACAACTTCCCCAAGGTTCTTGATATTTCAAGTGAAAATTTTTAGCTAACTAACTCATCTAGAAATTACCTCAATTCTCCCTTCAGCTGACATACACACATAGGCACATAGAGTAGGTTACAAAGACCTACTCTACTGTCATACTAAGAAACTGATGGCCCAGAAAGAATACCAAAGACTTAGTTGAAAATTTGGGGAAACATTCTAGGCTTTCTGTTCAAAACTGTCATTATATTCTAAATCTTATATTTAAAAAATAAGTACATAATTTCACAAGTACTTTAACACTGTCTACCCGAGGTTCCAAAAATATTACTTGACATTTTTAAGTAACAGTATTACTTAAAGCTGTCTGTTGTGTTACAATTGAGTAACTGAATTGCAGTAGTAACTTATGGTTCGTTCCCTGCTTCATAGCAAAAAATACATACACACAATAGTTACAGATTCAGTTATGCTCTGATGTTCACTGTACATGCAATAAGATAGCAGTTGCATGTTAGCTGATGCTATTCACATATTCAACCAGCTAACAATACACTGCCAACCTATCACACACAGGTAATGCGTTTCGTTAACAAGAGGAATTTGTCCAGAAGCAAGTGGCAGGGTAATTGTGGCTGCTGACTTGACCCAAGCAGCCAGCTAACAATTCACTGCCTACCTGACTCAGGTCATTGCTGATTTTCATAGTCCATGAAGTCACCGAGGCTAAATTTGTAATATGAAACACAGTGGCAGAACTTTAATCTTAAAGGTCACAATAAAGAAAATGTATAGACAAAACTTGTACTCCAAAACTATAAGGGAAAAAAAATCAACATTTGCTTGAATCAAGTCAAAAATATAAAAGTTTTTTTTTTTTTAACTTAAAAAGAAAAACTTTCAGAATACTTACACTTAAGTTATCCAAATTAACAGCTTGGATAATGAAGATATGTTATTGTAGTAAAAAATGCATTTTTAAAGCTACTCAACTATAGTTTTTCAAATTACTTAAATTTACTTACCAAAAAGTAAGTTGTCTATATTAGGAACTGAAATATCTAGGAGTCATGATAATACATAAACTGCACATGAGGTGGGACTGCAGCAAAGTTTGGGAGGAAAAAAATCAATATTAAAGTATTTAAGGACTTTAAAAGCTTTAATGTCATTAGTTTTCTCCCACTATAAATTACATTAGTTACTGAATTCTGAAAATGCGGTTATGTGTTTGGTGTTGGGTGTCACCACTTGAATATAGATACATTTATAGAAGATTTAGAAAATATAAAAATAGTGATGGATTTGAAACTAGAATCTATGAGTAAAGTCTAAAAGAAGGTGAACTATTTAGCCTAGAGAGAAGCATAGTAAGAGGTGATAATGAGATAGTTAAAACATATGAGAGCTGTGTATGTAAAGAAAAAATTTTTAAATCTTTAGGTTAGTTTATCTTTACACTGATTACAAGAGACACTAAAGACCACTGGGTCTGGTCTCTCAAGGAGAAAAAGTAATGCCTAACCGGATGAACTTTTAAATTGTGAATGTAAGACCCGAGGGTTATGCCACTTATCCTCTTTGTACACAAGATGGCACCATTTCCATTTCTTTGGGAGGCTTGCGTCTGAATGCAACCGAGGGAAGTGCAACTAGCAACTGTTAAAATAAAATTATAACAGCCAGCTAGCAATGCACTGCCTATCTGACACATCCAAGCTTCATCCTTCGCTGTTGAGGTAAAAACGAAAAAGCTCTATCCAGGTACATGTGATTACTGTTATTTGTTCGAGATCTTCAAGGATCTTTAAGAATTTATTTTTTAGCATGTAATCAGATCCTGTATTTAGTGACAGAGATTGGTTTTGTTTTTTTTTTTTTTTGAGTTGGAATCTCACTCTGTCGCCCAGACTGGAGTGCAGTGGCCGCTCCCGGCCACCGCAGCCTCGACCTGCTGGGCTCCGGCGATCCTTCCGCCTCAGCCTTCCGAGTAGCTGGAACTACAGGCGCGCGCTACCACGCCCGGCTAATTTTTTTGATTTGTTGTAGAGATGAGGTCTCGCCAAGTTGCCCAGGCGGGTCTCGAACCCGCGGGCTCAGGCAATTTACTCACCTCAGCCTCTCAAGGCGCGGGATTACAGGCTGAGCCACCGAGCCCGGCTTGATTTCTTTTTTTAACTCCCATGTTTCAGACCAGGTCATACTTCCTACAAACACCTTCTTTAGCAAGAGTTAGTTTGTCCAAGATCAGAGTTAAGCTAGAGAGCAAGCACTGGACACTCACCTTGGGGGACCCTTGACTTCTCTTCTGCTTCATGTCTTTGGCAAGCACCCGCATGATACTCTCCTTTGAAAACACAGATGACATATTGAGAGAAAAACTATTTAGAAAAATCATGTCAGGTGTGGACTTTCTCTAGATCCTTTGCTACTACCTTCACTTTTTTTTTTTTTTTTTTAAGCAACTAGGTACCACCAGAACAAAACTAAGAACACAACTCAAAATTACGACCAGGGTGTAGAGTTTTGTAGCATCTCTTGGCCCTAAACAGGTATGACGCACGGTGCCTTTGGCAAGAAACCCCTTAGAGAGCCGGGGCGAACAAAGAAAAGGGCGTTACTCACCCACAGCATCGCTTCTTCGGTGCGGACTCTCCGCGGGGCGGTGCGCTCCAGTTTCCACTCCATCTTCCGCTGCCTTTTTGCCCTACCTGGAGTTTGGCCTCTCCTCGACCGCCTCCGGTGTTCTTCGCTAAGCCAGTCTTGGCACCTACTCTTCAAATCCTTAGAGTCTCGTCCCCCAGGACCATTCTATCTCACCGCTTTCCTCCATTTCCCCCCAACTCCTCCCACCGCTCCCAAAGCGTGCTCCCCAGAGTACCATTTTAAAAGCCGGCAGGGCGGCAGCTTGAGCGGGAATCCCCCTCGCCGGCTTTCCATTGGTCGCCGCTGCGGTGACGTCAGAGCCCGGAAGGTATTCCCCGGCGCCGGCGCCGGCGCGGCTCAATCGCCGTCTCTGGGCTCGCGGCCCCGCCCCGCGGCCGCCCGCACTCTGCGGCCGAGGCGCGCACTGGGGCGCCAAGCTTTGCCGCGAGCCGTGGCGGGCCTAGGGCTGGGACCCGCGCCGAGGGCTGCTGCGGCGGCAGGAGCCAAAGGCTTGGCGGGCGAAGTAGCGGGTTCTGGGAGTTCACAATTTTTCCTTTTCACAAACAAAAATGTATAATGGCTCTGATCCCTTTTCCTCGCCTCCCACTTCTCTTTCCCAGCCCATCCTGCCCTTGAGAGGTAGAAGGGGTGTAATAACTCTCCGGCCTCTGTCTAGCGGTAAGGACACCGTCTGTGTAAGTTACTGATTTTGCACGTGATTCCCCAGCGTGTTCAACGGCTCTTCCTCCATTTTCAAACGGGCAAGAAAACGTGACAAGGCTCCTGTGCTGATGAGAAGGGAGAGCACTGGCATTTATTCAATGCATTCTTCTCTGCTCTATCCACCGGGAAGTGCTCAAGTCCTCTCCCTTAGACTTCGGAGCTGTGTTCCTAAATAGGAGGACGATGAGAGAGATAAAGAGGTAGGGACAGAGCCAGTGACAAGCAGGATCACATAAGGAGCGAAAAACCGGCAAGAAAGTTGAGCAGACTGGGGATTCGGTGATAAAGGAGAGGGTGATATTGAGGCTTAGGGGAGGGCTCCAGAGGGAAGTGACAAGGAGCCAGATGGCTGGGCAGTCTTAGCTACCCATCTGAGCTGCCAAGAGAGGTGAACTGTGCCATATGGCAGAAAGGTAAAACGATGTCTGGGAAACCTCTGATAGTCTGGCAGCCTGCTCTTCCCTCCCCATCACCTCCCCCTTCCCCCCATGGTCCCTGAATTTGACATTGGATTGCATTTTGCTCTAATGCAATATGCAGGTTTGGGTATTTTTCTGGGGAAAGAGTTCATAGATGCCAGATACTCAAAAGGGGCAGTGATCAAAGAAAAAGAAAGCTGAAACTCACTCTCCTGCTTTCCTTCAAACTGAAAGAAAGAAATTCTGGTATTGAGAATAAGTTAAGATTCGATCTTACACCAGTTTTTCATGAACAATGATAATGCTGCACACGGTAACTTAATCTTCAAGCGAGATTTCTCAAACTGCTTGATAATCAAATAATTCACAGATTAAAAGATCTCTAAGTTTCACCCACAAGAATTCTACCTTCCTTGCAGTGCATTTAAAGGAGCAGTCATTCCGACTTCCAGCAAATCCTTTCAGCAAACATTGAGATTAAATATTGGATAAGAGTCAGAAGCATTGTTAATTTAAATGATCGGTTTTGCAAATGCAACTAAAACTAGGAATACATCGGAATTAATATGAAAGATGCTTTATCTTTGTTCTGTTTTAATATATAGCTTACATTTACCCATTTTGTATAAACATGGAAGTAATAAAAAATTCCTTTAATGAGCTCATAAACCCATGTAAATTGGAATTTTTCAGAATCCAAATTCTTACAAGTACTAAGAAGAGTGAATTATTCATCTATAGTGCAGCTATCTGTGATACATTTATAAATTCATTTTTAGCACTAATTCCACAGCATACCTACACAGAGCCTCCAAATGTCTTTTTTTCCCCTAGTGTAAAGTAGAAAAGGATTAGTCAACTATCTTCCTTTAAAAAGTCATTGTGCATTTAAATACTCAAATTAAAACTTAACATTAGTGAGGCACAGTGGCTCATGCCTATAATCCCAGCAATCTGGGAGGTTGAGGAGGGATAATCTCTTGAGTCTAAGAGTTCAAGACCAGCCTGGGCAACATAGCAAAACCTCATCTCTACAAAAAATAAATTTAAAAAATAATTAGCCAGGCATGGTGGCATGCGACTGTAGTCCCAGCTACTCAGGATGCTAAGGTGGAAGAATTGCCTGAGCCTAGTAAGGCTACTGAGCCGTGACCATCATGGTCCTGCCACTGTACTCCAGCCTAAGTGACACTAAGACGCCAACTCAAAAAAAAAAAAAAAAAAACTGGATTGATGAAAACAGAAAAATCCCCATTTGGCAAATACCACAGTAACAACTATAGCAGAAAATAATCATGAATGCTAAAATTATTGTGCATATGATGAGGACATTTGGCCCCTGCAATTAAACACAAAAAGTAAAACCACAACTTTTCATTGGCTAAACCTGCAGACACCACTTTAACTAAGTGATCAAAGTGACGTCACCATTAATGAGATATATTGATCATGTGCCTCCTGATATGAATGCACTGAGAAGGGCAAACCATCACTTCTGTGGTATTCTTGCCAAAATGCATAACCTGAATTTAATAATGAGAAAATACTAGACAAACCCAAACTGAAGGACAATCCGCAACATAACTGGCCAGTACTCTTCAAAAGTGTCACAGTCATGAAAAAAGAAAGAAAAAAACTGTCACAGATGAAAAGAAACTGAATAAACATGCATTGTGAGATTCTGGACTGAATCCTAGACCAGAAAAAAGAAAAAGACGTTGGTTGGATAATTGTAGAAATTTGATTAGTATCTGTAGACTAGTTAATAAAGTAGTAGCAATGCTAATTTTCTACTTATGATTAGTATACTATGATTATGTAAGATATTAACATTTGTTCAAACTGGGTGAAAGATATAATGAAACTCTTCGTACTATTTTTGTTGCTTTTCCCTAACTACGAAAGTATTTAAAAATGAAAAAAAATGAATGCAACATCAAGTGCTCATTCTAATAAGCACTTTGGTACGACTGTTTAGAGGGGAAGAAATATCCTGTAAACATTTTATCTTAATCTTTTTCAAATATGGTTTAGGAAAATGTCTAATTCAAATATTCCTGTGCCTGTGAGTGGCGTACTACTGGTCTTTTAAAGGTATCCTGTTTGGGAATGAGTTTTGCAGGGAGGATATGTGACAGTGAAACGGGCTAGGAGGAAGACTTCTCATCAGAGGTCAATTCGGAGGATTTCAAGTAAGAAGGTGGTGGGAGATGCTGTCGAGAAGGAAGGAAGGAATTGTGTGGAAAAGCTTTCCTCGACTCTGAAAGTGGCCGGTGCGCTGAGAATCGGCACCAATCGGAAGCAAGAGGGTATCCAAGCTTCCCAAATGCAGATTTTTTTTTTTTAAATCCCATAATTGCACTTTCGTTCTCCATAATGTTAAACATCTCCTAACTATGCAACGTACGTGTGCTCGCTTCCGCAGCACATCGACTGACCATGCAATGTACAAAATAAAACTCCATCCGCTCTCTCGACCACCGTCTCCTTCCCCGGAGGTTCGCGAGACCTTTTTCGATGTGTTTACGTTCATACAATACATACATGCATCACACAGGGAGTCTGGCCCTACGAATCGTCCCACGTCCTTGGACTCTCATTACACCGATCATTTTGCAACTTCTTTTTTCTACTTCCCTGTACTCAACTGCTTTTCCAGCGATGCAAACCGGAGAGCGCTCCCCCATCCCCAGCTCCAACGGCCGCTTGACGCGCCCCTGCGGCCCGCGGCTCCTCCCGCCGAGCTAGAGGCTGGTCCCGCGCCTGCCAGCTCGCCGGCTCCGGCTCCCCCGCGTCTCCCGCGTCCCTCCGCGCCCGCCGAGCCCGCCCCGGCTCCCGCGCGCCCCGCTCCCGCGCGCCGGCGCGCCCCGGCCCCGCGCGCCCCTACTGGACCAAACGGACGGTTGGGGTTGGTTTCAACGGTCCCTGGGGCACGTGTCCCCCGCCGGGTGGGGGTTGGGGGAGCCGGCGGTGTCTGGGGGAAAGCGCCACGCCGGTGGGGGCTCAAACAGCCCCCGCCTGCTGGCATAGGGGTTAGATGGGACGAAGGGGGAGAGCTCGGGACAGCTGCACTCTGGTGGGGTGAAGTCAGCGGGAGAGGAAATAGACAGGGGAGGAGATCATCGTGCCTGGGACTGAAAACTCAGCGTGTTTGCTCTCCCGAGAATTGTAACTCAAAATAGCTTGTAGATAGACGAAGGAATCCTTTATAATCCACACTCTCAGGAGGGCTCCAAACTCTTAACTTGCAAAAGTCCAACTGATGCAAAAGCCTTAATCAGAAGAGCAGACAATAAAGTAGCCCCCTCACTCTGGCTACGGGGTTTACTACCTATTTTTTCAATTACAAGTAGTTCCTGTGCCTGCATATTTTTCTATTACTGCCTAATTTCTAAGTATTAGTCAAGGTCTGGCCTTTAAAATTATTTCTCCATTCATAGCCCAGTTATCGAAGAAGTAGGAGGTTTGCCCAGCTTCATGTCATTAATATCTGAAGATCACTTCACCTCCAACCCACTTATTTCCTTTAAAGCATTGTTCTTTTCACTTCCTCCTCAGAATAGTTCTTGCATAGGGTACTGCCCAAATAAGGTGGTTCTCCATAATTTTAAGGCAATGCAAGAAAAATATCCAACTGAAATTAGTCCACATGTGTATAAAACAAGGAATGAAATCAGGCATATGAAGATGATCCCCATCAAAGGAAAGCTGGCTTGGGAATGCTTGAGACTTGAATCTCTTTTCCTGAAGTGTTTTACCAGCACTTCAGATGCAACATAATCCTAAATAGAACTGAGAATCTTTCCTTATTCCCATTCTGCTCAAACCATCTATTCCTCTGTGTGCCCTGTTACCAAAATCACTACCCTCTTCGTGGAGCAGAGGCAAAGTCAGCCTTCTTTACCTCCTTCCCTTTCCCACATACCCAAATCTGGCTATC